TTTAAGTAAAGCCTTCTCGCGCGGGTTGATATTTCGAAATGATAGGAGAATGTAGAGGCAGCTATTATGAGAAAGAGAATGGTTGTGGTTGTTTCTCTCTCTCTCTCTCTCTCTCTCTCGAGCGCGCGCGCGGCTGCGGTACACGCGCCACTCTCCATTGCGCACGAAGAAAAGCCGAGATAAACCGAAAGGAACCGCGACGAGAAAAGTTCCTTTCTTCATAAAAGTGCCTCCGCTCCGATAACACACTGCGGAAAAGAAACCGCGTTTGTGTCGAGAAAAGTTAGATAAGATCGTCCGCAATGGCGCCATTTCTCGTTCTCGTAAATTAAAATCCTCTTTCCGGATTTTGTTAAGTTTTTGTTTACTAAAACAAAAATTTGAGATAACACAATTATATTTAAATTCCGTCGCGTATTTTATAATTTTCCTTCTATTTGCGCGAATATTCTACAGAAATATTTAATACTAATATTTCGAAAATAGTAAAAATATACTTTAGATATCATCAAACTAAATCTAAACGATGCATGAAAAAACGTTTGCGTGCTGCTTTCTTTTCTACGTTTTATTAAAAAAAACGTTTATAACACACGTTATCGGTAGTTTCACGCCTACGTAAGCTCGAGATGACGAGAACAGGGAAGAGGCTCCTTTCACTTAACTACATATTTCTTCGATATAACCGTCGTATGAGCAATTATAATGGGTTCTTCGACCGACGCTCTTTCTGAGTTTCAAAACACAACGCAACGAAACATCTTTTGCAAAACAAACGGATATTATATTGAAGTTAAGCAAGAACCTCAAATTCGTTTCAATCGTTCACACAACAACAGGCAGAGGAAATAGGAGCTTCCTGAACGGAAATTCGCGACCCCCCTAAGCGGAAGTTCGAGGGAGATCGCAGATGAGTTTAGAGGAACAAAATAACCAACCAAAAGAGCCACCAAAATAACTAGTCATTCACAAATATACAATATAGAATATTATTGATAGTTTATAAATTTCAAGCAATATTCTGCAAAATATAAAACAAATCAAAATTTTCTGCTACTCACACACAAAATAAAAGTAATCTCGGAGAAATTTTAACAAAACTTCAGGTTAGATTTTCTCTCGTTCTTTTTCAATTCTAAAAAATGTGAAAAAAAATTCCTTAAGCAAAAGAATAATTCCACAACTATTTTTAGAAAGAACATTTGTGGTTTATTATATTGATAATTAACACACTATATATATATATAATTGTCTATTTTATCAACGACAATTTATAACATAACTTGTTTTGTCACGTTATTGAACTCGGAAGTGAAAGCAATTAGCTTTTTTACATAAACATTCGTATGTGTGTATACATTGTTTTTTAATCTACGTACAAATGTCGTTACCTTCGATTTTTATATCATTTTCTGAAACACTTTTTTTAAAAAAAAAGTCCTTTCACGTCTCAAACATATCGATAAAAATCCATTGTGTTACAACTTCGAACGAATAAGTGCACTCTAGCACTTATTCGAGACATCAAACTGCGAGATGCGAAAATCTCGAGACGTTATGGATTATAACAGAATTTATCTCGAAAATATATCTCCGTTCTATTCCGTCCTTTCTCTGGTACAGGTACCATACGGGAGATACGCTTTGAAGCGTGAAAAAAAAAAAAAAAAGACGAAGTGGACACGCGCGTCAGGTCGGCGCGTCCGGAATGCAAACTATTTCTGGACAATCTCCAGAGAACCCGTTGCTCTGAGTGTTGCGAAAAATTCAGTTCCTGGTTTGGTGTCGCGTGTTTAAGTTTAGCTCCTCGCGTCGTACCAACGACGCATACCAACGATGCATCGCATCATTGTTCGAATAAAATTGTTGGAAAACAAATAACGGTAATTGCGTATAAAGTTTGCGGACCTCAATTCGTTAGTGCAAATATCTCTTTTCTTTTCATCTATGTGATATCGATAGAATGCAAATCCAATCGCGATATCTCGCTTATACAATCAGAGTTCCGACGAAATGTTCGCCATGTAATTTCCGCCTTAATTACAAAAGATAATTGTTTCATCGGGAATCGTGCTACTAATTGTAAGTGTGATATATATATGCGAACTATAATTGTAATATCACCGTTGGGGCAATAGAAAACTAGCGTATCTGACACCGACAGTCGTCAGGTATCTGACTTGTTTTTCCGATACGAATCGATACAACACTCAGTCCGATACCGCACGTAACCGGTTATACGTTACGTAATCATGAATAACACACTGTTGTTCCTCAAGATGCAATCAGTCATAAAAATGTATGAACTGGATGGAAAAAAAAAAAATCAAGTCGATCCTGCCAGGATTCGAACCTGGAATCTTCTGATCCGTAGTCAGACGCGTTATCCGTTGCGCCACAGGACCACTCGATCGCAAATTCGCTTCAAACGGCACATCTAAGTGCACATCTAAATTATTGAATAGAAATAAAAAAAGAAAACAAAATTAAAAAATTCTCTATTTTTAACACTCGATGCTCGCACGATAATAAAGAGTGAATTTTTCATGTATATAAATAGTAGCTTCTTAAACATGGATGAACGAAGACTGAAAGGGATTCAAGGTCCTTTATACATGATGCATTTTTATACGTCGTATAGTTTATAAATTCTCCCTTTTCACTTATTTATAAAAACCTACTTTCCAAATATTTTCAAATATACCCACTTACATTATGAATGTTCACAACATAAAATGGTATAGAAAATTTTGTAAGAAGCTTTAGATTTGTATTATGATAAAAAACTCATCGTTAGAACTTTATTTACTTTTTAAAATGATTTTGTGTATATTTTACTTAATAGTAAATACAAATAAATATGCAATTAACAAGACCGGATGTCCTACTTTCCGAGGACGTGTTCTCTTTCTTGTCACATCCTTGAACACCATTTCAAATTTGACCTAGTTTTGTGCGTTTACGAGTTGCGATTCGATATTTTAAATTTGTATATTGTTAACAAAATATAAGTGTTTAAAAATAAATGTAAGTGTTTAAAAATAATAACATATATATATATATATATATATATATATATATATATATATATATAACAAATACAAGTATTTTTAACAATCAAAATTTCAAACGTCTTTAATTGCATGTTCTTTTGCAAGTGTTTTGGATTTAATTATACAATTGTAGAAAGTAAAATTTCTCTGAAAGAGAGAATTCATTGAATTGTGCGCTATTTGTGCATAAGTGATTGTCGTTAACAGCGTAATTTAACGGCAATATTACAAGTAGAAATGTTGCAATAAAATGTTCGACTTAACTGTTTGCTTATCGTAGGAAACTTCTATGTGCATTTTAGAGGATACTAAAGATATGAACGTTGGCTTTGTGATTACAACGAGCGGTAACATTTGCAATTTCATTATCGTTCATTTATGTATGGTATGCCCGGCGCAAATGCCCCGTCTCTCTCGTCGGTTATATATTACAAGACCTTCTCTCTTCGCAAAAGGCGTATATTTCAGCGACACCCTAAATTGTATCGATCTTTGGGAAAACTTGCTTGTTTTCACGGCGTGCGACATCGTGTAAGTAAGTATAAAATGTTATCGTGCAACAAGACGTGTTAATATTACAGCTAATAGCGTGATTAGCTTTATTTTACGTCAAAGTTTTACACTTGACGAGAAAATTTTAATAATAATTCATAAAAATCATTTGTCGTTCAATTTGTTGCTCAATTATAAGCGTGTATATTATTTAAATCTATCAGAAAGTATAATAACTTTCAGTGAATACCTTTGCATAATTTTGTATTTAAAATATCTTCAATGTTGATGTTCGATAAATATACATTTGTATATCTAGTGCAAAGTGATTTTAATGCAAATTTGATAATAATAAAATAAACCTTATAAAAAAAAGAGCCGAATTCACGATTTTACGAATATTAAAGGACAAAATGGGAAAAAGAAAATCTCATCTACGTGAAACAACAAAGACAACATCTGGTCCCGTGAAAGTGCGACGGGATATACTACACAATACACGCGGAGTATTGTTTTCGCGGCTCATCTTCGAATATCGACGGCAACGAGCCCACAAGTGTGTTTCGTATACACACGTTCTTGAGGTTCTCGATAGCTGTGTTCGACGCGTGTCACGATTTTTAACAAACGTGCACATCCGCGTCGACAACGCGCTGCAAATCAATACGCGACGTAATTTTCAGAAAAATCCCGCGTTTGAATGAAGACCGGAGCTGTGATTTCAATATTCATAGGATATTCTAATTGTTTTCGATTATTTCCGATTTCTCATTAAAGTTGCAAACTTCAACGGGAAACCGAGGCAATAATTAATCCGATCATCAGAAAGCTTCACAACGGATATATTATAAAATATAGAGCGCAAGAACCCACGTTATATTCATAATTTCTTTCTAAACACATTGCTGTATAAAAATTACATCGTATAAAATTTTGCGCAACATTCAATACATTTATCAAATGGTAAAAATTATTCTGCTTTTTTTATTAATTAGAATTTTTATTGTATTATTATTTTTTATATAAAGTACTCTATTGAACAGAAATTAAAAATCATCTGTTTACAATTCATATAGGCTTCAATCTACAAGGAGCAAAAGTTTACCGCGGTTGACGCACATTAGAAGGAAACCATGTATTTTTGTAATCTACAACGAGACAACAAGCGTGGTTTACGTAAGTATTCGCAAGTGAGAGAGAGAGAGAGAGAAGTAGCGCAGAACTTCGCTTTTTTTTGCTGTATGTGCATTAAATGTGAATCGTCGATAAGTAAGTGGCGCGACAGTATTTACGTTCGTGTGTCACGTTGACAGCGAGCAGACTGCTGCCCGTGCACGTTAGCGCAATCGCGGCGTGACGTAAAATCACAATAACACCGTGTAAACAACGCTTCCGCATGCTGTCAAATTTTTTTTACCATGCTGACGCGGGAAATTTCGATCATTCGATACTCACAGTTAGCTGCGGGAAATTTCACACGTCGATGTCACCCCGCTGATTCCCCGCGACAGAAGGGTGTTTGGTTATAAGATTTGATGCTCGCGCGCGGGTGTTGTTGTGTACACTGGGTGTTTGGGAAAAATGTGAGATGAACCTTACGACGCGCCGAACGGTTAGTTCCACAGTCACCACGAGTGTCGACACGAGTCACATGGATCACATTATTGTGCGTGTCCTATTCAGAAAATCGCGAGTACGGCCGAAACGCGCTGCCAGCCGTCACGGAGGATCCGCACACTCGCCATTTTAATTTACACTGAGGGCCGTTCTGTCGCGGGCAGCGAGGTGTCCTGCGCGATTCGCGGGATGCGCATGCGCGCGACAGGTGGCTGCCCGGGTGTCATAATGTTCCTCTCCCACCGACGAAACATCGCAGGTGACGAGTGGGCGCAACGATTTTTTCTTCAACTAATCTATGTTACCGACCGGTGCTTGTGTGGCATAGCAGTTGTAGACAATACAGTAATTCTTATTATTTTCTACTTAATCGATAACAGATAAGAACAAAATTGCAGAGATAGTTATTTATAGCAATTTCGGCTGGTCTGCACCGGTGTGCCACCTGTGTAGAGTTGGTGCAATTGTGTGCAACACCGCATCGGTGTGTGTACTGATTACACTAACTGGCTCCGACTAATTTGTGAGAGCCACTTTGTGTACACCCAACATGCACCTATGCGATGTACTGAGCTCAGACGAATACGCGGAACCAGCAAAGAACTGCTGCCATTCGACCAGCCGAACACACAATTTGCACCGACACCCGAAATGTGCAGTCGGTGCAAACCAGCCGAAATCGCTATTAATTTATTTAATCAGAGACTCGGACCGAAATGAAATTTCGGTCCGGTTGCGGTCCGATGTTGTATCTAATTTTCGGTTTCGGTTTCCGATCTCTTTATCGATAACGCTGACCGTAACCGCTTGAAGTTTGTTTTTTTTTTTTACAGTTACAGTTATGAGTGTTTAATTAAAAATCGAAAAAGTTACCTTTTCAAAAAAAGGTAAAAAAAAGGCGCCAAGTACACGCACAATACGTATTGGATTCTAGTTACTAATACTACAAAAAATTCTTCCTTAAAAATAAACCTGTTTTACAAAAGAATTGATTTAATTAATCTAATTTAACCTATTGCAAAATTTATAATGAATAAAAAAAGATAATTCAATAAGTATGCTAATTCAATAATATGCAATAAGTTGCATATTATAAAAAATGCACGTTTATTAAAGAAAACAAGTTAACTAAGAGTTAAGACTTATATAGTTTAAAACCGAGAAATTTAACAGGTGATACGAACCAATATGCTGGATGTTGTGCGGAATAAATATGTATATGAATATATATTTATATTTTTTAGGAGTGTACATTTGTTACACTTGATTATTCAAATTGAAATTTCAATTCGTTAATTCATATAGGATGCTATACTTGCATCACACATATGTGTGAGAATACCCATTTTTAAATTTACATTTCTAAAAAACTTAAATATATATTCATATATATTTATTCTGCACAACATCCAGCACATTGGTTTGTATCACCTGTTAAATTTTTTGGTTAGTTTTAAACTATATAGGCCTTAAGTTTTAATTAATTTGTTAAATTTCACGCCAGTGAGATGGCGTTATTTACAGAGTATTATATTCGAATATTGTGAGGAAAACAGAAACAGGTTTTAATCTGATTACGGGTTTCGATCTATAAGTTTTTATCTTAGTTATTTTATAAAAGGTTTGTTTTTTGTCTCTGAACTGGTTTCACTAGTCTATCTTTTTCTTTCTAATATGGATAATACAAGATTGACTGTGAAATAATGTAGCCTACTGTGTAAGTAGTTCAAGGAAAAAAACAAACCTAAAATAAAAGCATATCCACAATATTTCAAACTGGTTTTCAGTTTTAATTTTACTAAACTAACGATTATAATTCGGTTATCGGTTTCGGTTTCAGTCCGATCTGGGTCCTTGTATTTAACGCTAAAAAACAAGAATTACAAGATATAAACTAAGTCTCTTACCGGTTGCTAAAAATGTTGTAGATAGACGTATAAGATAAAAAAATCAATTAAAAAATTTATAAGCAAAAAAATATAAATAGAAAAATATATTAA